CCCCAAAACCCCAAAACCCCAAAACCCCTTCAAATCGGCAAATTATTGAAAGTTTAGGTTTATTTAAATATCATTAGCAGGCGCAATGTCTGTACTTCCCGCCACACCTGTAACAAAACTGGTATCCTCAGCGACAGGTCATATGATTACACCCTGAGCTCTTCTCAACCCAGAACTTGCACTGGGGACATTGCTTGAACCTAGTTCCTTTGATGAACTTGTAGAATGCTCTGTCTTCAGGTGGGTATCCTTTAAGTTCTCGGTAATCTCTGCATGAGAGTCCTTCATGCCACTCGACTCGGCACATTATTCAATAAGTCTTAGAACAAAGTGCACATTTGAAGTTAGAGTCTTCCTTGCTTGCGTTCCACTCAAAGATGAACTCTCAGTCAGGTGTAGGACACCTGTTGAATATCTCTCAGTTCTGTTCAAGAAAGATCTCCAACTGGAACTTCTGGATTTTGGAATAGAGCTCTTTATCACAGAATTCTTTAATCTCATCATCTGTTAGTTCAGTATCACACTTGTGTTCAAGTCATTTGATAGGGAAGCTCTTTTCCTCAGTTTTAGCTTCTAAATGCTGACCTATACACTCTGGATGGAAGATATGGCCACAGGTTAAGGGATGAACATCTGCGAATTCAACTGCAGAATAACAAATATTTCAGGTAGGCTTATTGCTCTCTTCCTGCTGTTTGGAAAGCAACTTATCTTTCTCATCAAACTCCCTTTGGAGTCTGATAGCCATCTCCATGCTTTCTCGTTCTTGTTGCAGAGATAAGGACTTGGCTTTAGCTTCTTCAGCTAGTAACTCCTGGATCAATTTATGACTCTCTTCATCATCATCATCATCATCATCTTCATCACTAATGAGTTCAATTATTTTTCTCCTTTTAAGCTGCCGAAGGGGCTGGAGGTCTTCATCTTGAGAAGAAGGGCAGAAATTCTTCAGGAAATATGGGATATCATCTTGGTTTGCTTCACCACTCTCGATAGTTTCTTCAGCGCTGGACGAATCAGAAGGTATCAAGCCCTTCTTGATGCCAACTGCTCCTTTGAGGTTCTTCTTCATTAGGGAAATCTCTTCATTGTTCTTCTTGAAGGCTTTCTTGTATTTCTTGAGCCAGCTCAGGCCAAGTACTTCTGCAAGGTAGTTCCTCTGGTCGTAGAGGCTCTGGTAAGTAATCTCTAGCTCAACCTTACTCAATGGTTTTCTATCAATTACATTCTGGATTAAGTGTGTGAATTCAATGAAAGTTTTAGGCTCAAAGTTCTGTTCGAATTTCCAGTAATTATACCCAACTAAGAAGAGTAAAGCTGGTCTACAGGATGAGCACTCCTCATCAAGTCTTTTAAAGAACTTGCTTTTTGAGGTATTTTCTTCGGTTCTGAGCCACTCTAAATCAGTAATACTTGCTTTGGTATCCATACTAATAAAATACAATAGTTGTTATTTTCAAGTGGTATTAAGCACTGCGGGGTTTTGGGGTTTTGGGGTTTTGGGG